GGATCAGAGAGGTTTGGAAGTTTAGGGAACTTTGAAGATGGAGCATGAGAGTGTATGTAGGAGGCTGGGGGGAGAATAGGGAGTAAGAAAGGGATTAAGGGCCTTTCTGAATTTTTGTACCTGTTCCAAAGTGGGGATGTAGAATTAATACTGCTAAAAACAAAGTAGAGCAGGTGTCCATTTTCCCACATTTGCTAGGTTCTTCTCTACTGTTGTGGCTCTTCTACTGGAATATTTATCTATAGGTTTAAGTTAAGGATAACTGCTCTTAAAAAAAGTCTTTATCAACAGCAGTTCACCTAGTGAGTGTTGATACTTTGAGTCTGAGAGAAAAGAAAAAACTAAAAAAAAAGGCCATCACACTTTCTCGGAGGAGCCTTCACTGCTCATCCCATCTAAGAAAGTTCCCTCTGTTATTTCTTATTATGGAATCCTGCTGTTTGTAAATATTTTATTTTGTTTGTTTACTTGTTTAACATCTGAATCTCCCAGTAGACCCTTAACTTTGTAAGACCAGATAACATGTCTGATTTGTTTACCTAGTGCTGGATGGAATATACTGAAAAAGTCAATAAATATTTTCTTAATGAAGAAAAATAGTAGGGCGAGAATAGTATAATAATGTATTTATCAGCCAGTTATCAACATTTTGCCATCTTTTGTTTCAAATATTCTGCCATTTTTTTAACCTGTAAAATATTCTTCAGTATGCATATCTGATATATAAAAGGAATTTTAAAAAATCACTGTGCCATTATTATACCTAATAAAATTAAGTAATCACTTTATATTATAAAACCCAGTCTATATTCACATTTCTCTGGTTGTCTGAAAAATATGTTTTTACGTTTGGTTTGTTCAGAAAGTAACCAGGCTGACCAGTTAGCTTAGTTGGTTAGAGTGAGGTTTTATAACACCAAGGTCATGGGTTTCGATCCCTGCAGCAGCCAGCCACCAAAAAAAGAAAAAGAAAGAAAGAGATAAAATAAATATCCAAATAGGGCTCACTTAGCATTCGGTCGTTATGTCTCTCAAGTCTCTTTTCATCTGTTGTGGTCCTCTCCCCCTTTTCCCTGCCATTTTATGTTGAAGAAACCAGGTTCTATATCCTGTAGAATGTACCACATTCTGGATTTGGCTGATTGTTTCTTTGTGGTTTCATTTTACTCTTCCATTAACTTCCATATTTCCTGTTAACTGGAAATTAGAACTAGAGGTTTGAATAGATTCACATTATTTATGTATTTATTTTTACAAGAATACTTCCTAGTTGGTGCTTGTGTTTCCTGTTTCATCTGGAGGCAAATAATATCTAATTAGTTTCATTTTTGGTGATGCTAAGTGGATAAAAGTGTTATCAACTTAATGTATCTCCATCCACATATAACCTAATGATTTTAGCACCTATTTATCACCATTGTCCAGATCCATTATTTCATTAGGTGTTGTACATTGGTGGTATTTCTAATTATACCATTCCTTCTATATTTATTAGCTGTAATTCTGTAACAAAGAACTTTCACTTAACTATTGGTTACTTGAAATCAGGAAAGGCAGGATTAATGATTGATTTCTCCCTTCCCCCTTTATTTGTCGTTTTCAGAGTAATGAGTTGATGCCCTGGCAACTTCTGTTGGTGATTGATGAAAGGTTTTTTAAGAGTCCTTATAAGCTAAGGGCTATTTATAAATTTGATATATTTCAGTGAATTATAGTCATTATTCATTTTGATGTTCAAATTGATACATTAGTGTCTCCATTAGTCTTTGATGACTTCTTTGGTTTCTGACACAAGATTTTGCAGGCTTATTTTGTACTTATCCTTCCACACACGTAAAATAGGCCATTTCTCCAAAGAACTAGATCTTTGTTTTTGTTTTCGCGGGCCATTACAGGGATTGAACCCTGCAACTTGGTTTAATCAACACCACCCTAACAAACTGAGCTAACTGATCAGCTTGTATTTTGTTGTTGTTGTTATTTTAATGGGAAATAATATTTATTTATTTATTTATTTTATTTATTTATTTTTTGTCTTTTTGTCTTTTTCCGTGCCCGGCAACGGATCGCAACCCTCAGTGTTGCCCCCGTACCGGACCGGGGGCCCGGCCCGGGGGAACAGCCCGCGGCGGTGCCCCCCCCCCGCGC